ACTCTCACACTCGATGCATATGGAGTTTCATCTGTTTTGTGTGGAGCTGTTTTACACTAATGTTTCCCACAACGCAGGTAAGACTCCTATGTACAGTTACGATTAGGTCTTAATCAGATTACATGTTTCGACGAGTAGATCTTCACCAAACCTGTGAACAACAGCATCGAGTAACTTCCTCCAACCGTTATCAATATTAGTGCCATAAAGCGAATCTGTAGTGTTAGTGATTTGCCGATTGACTTGACACTACACTGGACATAATTGCAGGAGAATGCCTTGTAAGGCCTGATTATACTATACCGACGTAAACTATCTCCATCATGTGCTTAAGTTAGTTGAGATAATCTTTCACCCGATGGAGACACATTGTGTTATGCTACGGGGACGATTGGGACATGGGCGATAATAAGGATGCAGGAGGATCTTTCAGTAGGGAGTTATTCCGGGCATCGAAACACCTGCTTGGAGCTATACTTCATACCAAGTTGCAGAGATCTTGTTACACGATGCATTATGGGAGGATCCTGTTCATGCATACAGAGTAAAAGCATGTTGTAGCCGTAGCGATACCTTTGAGACGGTGGAAGAATTTCAAACTGCTATGCTAGATTCCGCCCCGTGAGCTTCTTTGCACTTCATGACCGTTCATGGACCAAATCATATTGTCCTTTCTGAGCTCATGGGCCTTGGCTTTTGATAATACGATCTTGCAATGGAATAGAAATTGAATTCTGCAACCTATGCTCCTCAAGCGCTTACTTGAACAGCATGCGAAATTCACACAAGCTAGGCTCATCGTCGTATTTATCACGACTTTCATGCTTCCTAAAGTAGCATGAAAATCTTTGATAACAACTTACCTTACAGGTTACCTCTACCGAACTTTTTCAAGGGAATTTACATACGATTCAGGGTAGAAGAATGCGAGAAACTTTAATATCTGCAAAACGCCGCATAGATCACTATGTGGGCATTTCTTCACACTGGTATGGACTGTCGCCATTAGGCTGGACACTTGCTAAGACGATGTGAAAGCACAGCGTAACGTAGACAGCATTTGGATAGCAAATTAGTAGCAAGTTACGTCATATAGCCCGAGGAACAACTCAACCTCTTGAAGTAATGAAAAATGAAAATACTAATTGTTACATCTCTTGTGATTGAGTCATACCTTTCCCTTTACTCTTCTTTGGCAGTAGAGTGGTATGAATGTTAGGCAGTACACCACCACTAGCTAAGGTCACTCCAGCTAAGAATTTGTTGAGTTCCTCGTCGTTGCGGACCGCCAATTGAATGTGTCTTGGAATGATTCGAGACTTCTTATGATCACGCGCAGCATTACCAGCCAACTCGAGGATCTCGGCGACCAGATATTCAAGGACTGCAGCCAAGTAGACCGGGAGCACCGGAACCCATACGTTTAGCATAGCGTCCCTTCTTGAGGTAGCGGGCTATTCTACCAACAGGAACTGCAGACCGGCCTTAGCTGAGCGAGTCTTCGAACAGAGGCCTTCTTCCCAGACTTAC